CCGTCATTTATTGTATAATTTGCACCGGAATTGATCTTCCAAAATGCATCACCTTGCATTTGTCTGGATTAAACTCCATATGCCATTTCTCTGCCTAAATCTGCAATCTATCTGTATCCCGCTCGAACTTTTGGCAATCCTTCTCACTATCTACAACTCCGCCAATTTTGGTGTCATCTGCAAACTTACTAATCAGACTAGTTACATTTTCCTCCAAATCATTTACATATATTAGAAGCAACAAAGGTCCCGGCACTGATTCCTGCAGAACACCACTAGGTCCTGACCTCCATTCCAAAAAGCACCCTTCCACTGCTACTCTGTCTTCTATGACCAAGCCAGTTTTGTATCCGCCTGGCCAGCTCACTGCAGATCCCATGAAATTCTACCTTCTGTATTAGACTGCCGTGAAGTACCTATCAAACGCCTTACTAAAGTCTATGTAAACAACATCCACTGCCCTTCCCTCAATCATTCTTGTAATATTCTCATAAAACTCAATCAAGTTGGTGAGACATGATCACGATCAGGCAGTGTCTGAGACAGAGCGGTACAGACAGATCATAGCTCGCAAAGGATGTACAGATCAAAAAGACTTAAAGACATACAGGTTACATTATTTGAGGCTAGAGTCCATTCAACAGTCTGATACCGGCTGGGAAGACGCTGTACCTGAACCTGCTTTTGCATCTGTTCAGGCTTCTGTGTCTTCTGCCTGATGGAAGAGGTTGTAGGAGGTCATTACCAGGGTGCGATGGGTCCTTGGTGATATTGGGCCGCCTTTCCACAGCAGTGAGCCATGTAAATAGAGTCTATGGATGGAAGGCTGGCTTCGGTGATGGTCTGGGTTGTGCACACCACCTTCTGTAGTTTCTTATGGTCCAGGCAGAGCAATTGCCCTACCAGGCCGTTATGCACCCAGACAGCATACTTTCAATGGTGCATCTGTAGAAGCTAATGAAGGTCCTTATGGATGTACCAAATTTCCTTAGCTGCCTCAGGAAGAAGAGGCGTTATTGTGCCTTCTTGACTGTCGCGTTTATATGGGGAGTCCATGGCGCGTCGGTTATCGTCACTCCGAGGAACTTGATGCTCTTCACTCTCTCACCCTCAATTCTGTTGATGTAGATGGGGATGTGTTCTGTTCCTTTCTTTCTGAAGGTGATGATCAGTTTAGTTTTGCTGACATTGAGAGACAGATGTTTTCATTGCATCACGTCACCAAGTCCTCTATCTCCCTTCTATATTTGACGCGTCATTGTTAGATATCCGTTCCACTACGGTGATGTCATCAGCAAACTTGTAGATGGCATTCATGTGGAATTTGGCAACAGAGTCGTAGGTGTATAGGGAGGTCCCCCCAATGAAACCACATTGTGAGCAGCGAGCAGCAAATGCAGTAGACTAGATTCAGAGAGGTAAATTGCTGTTTTTTAAATTCATTTACAGGATGTGGGCATTGCTGGATAGGCTAGCATTTATTGCCCATTGCTAATTACCCAGAGGGTGGTTAAGAGTCACATGTAATCCAGATCAAGTAAGGATGGCAGTTTCCTTTCCTGGTGGGCATGCTTCACCTAGAAAGTGTGTCTGGAGCCTTGGATAGTGAAGAGAGGCGAATGTAAATGGGCAGGCGTTACACCTTCTGCGATTGCGTTTGGAAGGTACTGCGGGGTGCAGGGAGGTGTTAGGATTGGATGAGGAGTGGACCAGGGCGTCCTGGAGAGAATAGTCCCTGCAGAATGCTGACAAGGGAGGGGTGGAGAATATGTGCCGCTAGAGGTGGTGGAAATATCAGCTCATGATCCTTTGGATGCGGAGGCTGGTGGGATGGTAAGTGAGGACTAGCGCAACCTGATCGCTGTTGTGGGAGGGAAGATAAGGGTGAGGGGCAAAGTGCAAGAGATGAGCCAGACACATCTGAAGGCCTTGTCAACCATGGTACTGAAGAATCCTCAGCAGAGGGAGAATGTGGACATTTCTGACGGTTCCCTGCAGAAGGTGGCATCGTCAGAATAGGTGCGATGGAGATGGAGAAACTGGAAGAACACGCAACATCGCGTTATAGAAAATCACTTTATAGAAATAATGGGGCCTTTGCGAACAGCGGAGTTAAGGACAGATTACCAAAAATATCTCTCAAAAGCCTAAGACAAAGGATAAGACAGTTTGAATAGATATTTAATTCATATCTAATAATAAAAGTAAATTTAAACCTTACCATGAAAAAAAAGTCAAGATGACTTGATGGGAAAGGAGGTTTTTAGGTAGCTCTATTGTTAATACAGGGGCTGAGGTTCATCATCATCACTTTCAGATGCAGTTGTGGTTGCAGGGTTAGGGTGAAAAATAGTTAATCCAGAAGTGGTTGGTTGTGGTTCACTATCTTCTGACTGTTTCTTGGGGGTGGACTTAAAAAAGATATCCAATTTCTGCTGCTCTGCCTTTTTTCTTTCATGAAGAAGCTGATCATAGGGTGCCAAATTAGATCTTATTCCAGAATTGCTACCCTGCTGCATTCTGCATTGTAATCATTGTCCTCTAAGAGCTGCAACTACTTCTCAATTTCTCTCAGGATAGAAGATAAAACAGAAATGGAAAGCTCTGAGGTGCTGCATCCTGGATTTCATCTCCAGCTTCCACTTCCCCCTCAGTGACAAGTTGCTGTGATCAGTTGTAAGAGGTCTTCACATGAGGCCATCGCATGCTCCTTGTCTGCACTGGCAGCTTCACCACATAGCTTTATGTTATGTAAAGCATAATGGTTCTTAAAACCAGCAAACCAGCCACCACTAATACTAAAGGTAGGCATCTGCAGGATTTTCAGCTTTTTTTTGCTAGATTTTCATAAATCGATAAGGCTTTCTCTTTTATGGTGAGAAAAAAGTGATCCCAAATTGCTTTTTCGTTTGATCTTCTATCCACACACTCAGAAGCTGCTTCATCTCCTCAGGTTCCTTTGGCCATGATCTCAACGATTTGCTAACTATCAGACTTGTTCCAGCAATACAGCATCTCCCGATTCACCCCCTCCCCTCTCCCCTCCCCTCTTTACTGCATTGCCTCTAATGGTGCGTAAGTTAGATTCCTTTATTCCTATCACGCAAACTATATCACGTTCTGTCATAACACTGAAAAAGCTTTATAACGTCTAGCTTCTCTTCCAGTTATAGACTTTCTTTTACGTTCACCACCTGCAATTTTATCACCAGGACGCTTCTTGCTAACATTCTTGTCACTTTGTCCTTGCATTTTTGTGGAAACATGGCAGAATTTGCAAAACAAACAAAACCATGGAGTATTGTACCTCTCACAGAAAGCGCTTCACAACAATGTCTGCAAAATGATCACATGATGCTGGTGCAGACACGCTTTCAGTGCTAACATTGAACGTATTCAGGACAAAACCTGCGAAGCGATCATGTGATGTCAACGCATACTCCCGAGCGCCGATGGAATTGCATTATAGCCAACACAAGTTCGTATTTTAGAATTAGCGATCCCCTATTCGTCAGTTGCGTTATAGCCAATTTGCATTGCTGGAACACACATTATAGCAGAACAGAGATAGTAGGAACTGCAGATGCTGGAGAATCTGAGATAACAAGGTGTAGAGCTGGATGAACACAGCAGGCCAAGCAGCATCCAGCTCTACACCTTGTTATCTCTTATAGCAGAACAGACTGGGTAGTCCTGACAGGAAGCAGGGTGGTAGATAGAAACATAGAAGATAGGAGCAGGAAGAGGCCACACGGCCCTTTGAGCCTCCTCCGCCATTCTTTACGATCACAGCTGATTGTCCAACTCAATAGCCTAATCCTGCTTTCTCCCCATAACCTTTGATCCCATTCACCACAAGTGCTATATCTAATCACCTCTTGAATACATTCAGTGTTTTGACATCAACTGCTTCCTGTGGTAACGCATTCCACAGGCTCACCACTCTTTAGGTGAAGAAATGTCTCCTCATCTCCGTCCTAATTGGTCTACCCCGAATCCTCACATTGTGACCCCTGGTTCTGGACACACCCACCATCAGTAACATCCTCCCTGCATCTACCCTGTCCAGTCCTGTTAGAATTTTATAAGTTTCTACGAGATCCCCTCATTCATCCCAACTCCATTGAAAACAATCCCAACCTGTCAATCTCTCTTCACACGTCACACCCGCCATCCCCAGAATCAACCTAGTAAACCTGCGCTGCACTCCCTCGACAGCAAGAGCATCCTTCCTCAGAAAAGGAGATTGCACACAATATTCTAGGTGTAGCCTCACCGAAGCCCTGTACAACTGCAACAACACATCCCTGCTCCTGTACTCGAACCCGCTCACAATGAAGGCCAACAGTAACTACAGGAGCAGGTGGGTTTGTAATGGATATTGGCAGCCAGCCTAACCCTAGAAATAGACACACAGATGTGGAAGAAGTGAAGCAAGGAGAGGAGTGGAGTCAAAGATGAACCAACTGAAGCATGACAGCAGGATGGAAACCGAAAGTGAATTTGACTTTTTGAAAAAAATATTCCATTCCAGACGAGAGACAGAAGACGCCAGTGCGACCGGAGCAGTTTATAATTGGCTGCTGGTGGAATAAGCCGGGTGGTGATTGGGTGCGGCGGGAACGAGGTTGTGATTGGTGAAACAGGGAGCAGGGTTGTAATTGGCGGGGTAGGAGTACGGATTTAATTGGCGGATCGGGACCAGGTTGTGACTGGATGAGCGGTAGAGCGCGCAGGGTTATGATTGGAGAAACGGATCAGACGTGGGGTTATGATTGGCTGAGCGGAACGAGGTGGTTATACACCAACGTGGGTGAAAAAACAAACGGGGGTTTCTGATTCGCTGAGCAGGAGCAGGTTTGTGACTGGCGGAGCGGAACCCGGATTATGAAAGGCCTAGCGGAGCAGAAGCGGAGTTGCGATTGGCTAAACGGTGGGTGGGGGGGGGACTTCATTACGATTGGCGAAGTGGTTCGGACGCTGAGCATGGGCTGTGTAGTGATTGGTCAAGAGGGGGCAGGCGCTGGGTTGTGATTGGCTGGTGGTACGGTTTGCGGGGAGCGCAGACGGTTTTTGTCTGTTTGCGCGCCGTTAGCGGAAAACCGTTCAAAAGATGGAGGCGGGAGAGTGAGAATGTTAAAGTAGAGAGAGAGAGGAGAAGAATCCGGGAAAGTGTCTGTTAGGGAGAGAGAATCTGTTAAAGTGTGTGAGTTACAGAGAGCCGGGTCTGAGGAGCCATGGCCAGCTCTGGGCCCGGCCCCTGGAGGAAGGAGCGCCTTTGGAGTGGGCTGTTGGCGCTGGGCTTCAGCCCGCCCGGGGATGAGGGCCGCCAGGGGCCGAGTGGCGGCGGGAGAAACCGCGTCGTCTTCGGCAGGTAAGAGACCCTGGGGCTCGACCCATGCCTGGGCCTGTTGGCGGAAACATTCCCCTCCCCCGATTTCCCCCACTCCCCGATTCCCGCCTCCCCGATTCCCCCCTCTTTCCCCCTCTTTACCTGGTTCACATTCAGGGGCTTGCTTCCCGTGCGCTGTTGTTGTTAATGGGCAGCTGATGGACATCAGTAGGCACTGCTGCCTGAAGTGTCAATGTGAACAATAAAGATCGCGTTCTGTTCTTCCATCCGAACAGGGATATGTTTGACAAACCGAACATGGAAGCATTTCAAGTCGTCGTGCATTTCTTGTTCCTGCAATTGGACCACAATCGGACCAATTCTCTTTTCAGGTAAGCTGAATGTTTTATTGTTATTGCGATGGCAACTGACTGCAACTTTCTGTTCTTTCAGCTTTGGCTCACTGTTTACAATGAAGGTAAATGTGATAAGGGAAGTTTAATAATTATTCTTGAAATGGGCAGCTAGTTATGGTAGTTGTCAAAAGCAAAATGTAAGGCATTCTTGTTGCAATTAATGAAGATTTCCCACCAGCCGGGCAGTCATTATGCCAGTGTCGATGGGAGGTGCACATAAGGATCTTCCGAAAAGCCCATCATTGCAAGCTTTGAAAGAATTGCACGAGAGATTGAAGATTCTGCTGGGTAATTCCTCTACACCTTGAGCCCTCCCAAAGTCTCAACTTAAATCGACAGGTCTGATGAAACTAAGTATGTAGTTCTCAGGAAAAGCTAGACCTATTCTAATTCGGGAAGAGCTATTTAACTGATCCAAACTTTGCACACCTCCCTCAGAATCCTTGTACCCCCTATATTCCTGGGAATTCAACCACCCAATAAAACCTGACACCCTGCCCTAAACTCACCATTACTTAGTTGGCCCCAACTTGTCTGCCACCCTTCCCGAGGACCCTAACCTGATGCTTGTCTTGCATACTCATTGTTTGACAGGATCTAAATAACTGCTGTGAAAAAGCAGTCATGGTTTGCCTTTCCCTGGTAATCCTGCACTACAAGGTAGCTATCAGATTTAAATTACAGTTCTACATTTCTGTGGAGCCCTGATGGGAATTTTCTGCCAGAAATGCAGAGTTCTTTCTCAAAATGAAAAATGTGAAGTGACAATGTTTGTGATTTGCACTCTTGGAAAATCTGGCCCTATTTTTTTCCCCTGTCTTCTGTCTTAACTCGTGCTATAGAGTTGCTACAGTCTAGTAGATGGAGGATTTTGAGTAACTTTCCCCAAAAGCTGCATTTGGGTATCTGACAAATTGTGCTGGCTAGTTAACTTTAGAAGGATGCAGCACTTAAGAATATAATTACTATTCTTTTCTAAAGCTCGCATTCGTTGAGATCAGCTAAGAGCCTGCTGGCCTTTCTGTTTCTACTTCAGCTTCAAACCGTGCAGCAAATTTATATTAGATGTGGCAGAACTCTTGAGATTTGATCAGATGTACCTGTTGATGTTCATTTAGCCCTTTCTGTTGCACACTGTTCAGCATGGCACTGGTGCTTTGTTTATCATCACTAAATTTGATAGCTGCTTTCGTTAGGTATTCTGGGTCTTGTTCCTGGCATGCCCCTTGCACCCTTTATTAATTGAGGGCTGATTGCTTGATGATAGTGGTTTAGTGAGGGATGTGCCAAATTTTGAGGTTACGGTTGAACAAAATTCTGCTTCTGATGGTCGGCAGAGCCTTGTGGATTGCCAGTTGAGATGCTGCACCTGTTGAAAATCTGCCCACATTTAGGATCGTGGTCATGCCACTCAATGAGTGACTGCTGCATGTGAAAATGAGATGACTTTTCTTCAAAAAGTCCATTCACCGATCATTGCATGGACAGATACATCTGTGATAGGTAGATTGGTGAAAATATGCCTAATGGTGTTTCTTGGTGGCTCCCTCCCTGTTAGCTCTAAGCCCAGTCTGGTAGTTATGTCCCTTAGTGCTTGGTCAGTAGTAGCACTACTACGGAGATCTCCGTGATGGGTTTTGAATTCCTGCCCAGCATGCGTTGTGACCTCGCCACACTGTTCTTTTTCCAATTTATGTTCAACATGGAGGAGTACGGATTCGTCTGCTGAGGGAGTGCATTATTTGTTAATCAACAGGTTAGCATGCTCATGATTGATCTACTGCCGTAAAACTTTGGTTGAGTTACCTAGATCAACTCCCTCCTGACTGTACGTATTGCTGTGCTACTCCCTCCACTGAGTCTGTGCTGTCAGTTGGTCAGGGTCTATCCAAGGATGGTAATGGAGTCTGGGACATTCATTATAAGGTATGATTTCAGTGAGAATGTCTATCGGGCTATTGCTTGACTAGTTTGTAAGGTGGATCTCGCCAGTTATGGCACAGGCCACACCATTGTAAGGAAGGTTTTGCAGGATCAACAGGCTGGGTGTGCTATTTTCATTTCTGGTATCTAGGCCAAAGCCAGGTGTTCAATCTGTTATAATCCATTTTGACTTCTCTTTGTGGATAGAACTGACTGATTTGCATCATTTGGAATCCTATTATTGATTTGAACAGTTGAGATTGTGTCTGTAAAGTAGTATCATATAGTATTGAGACACTAGTGATGAAAAATATCACATCACATTTTTGTGAGAAGTCTGAAAAGGTAATTTGCATCTATGGTTTATATACCCTTGGAGCTTCACTACTCTGCCACAATAATTTCAGTAAATTTTTGATGTGTGTCCCATTCACGTTAACTTCTGCCACACTGCAGGGGAGAAAAGCTGAGGAAATTCATTCCTTTTGCCAATTTGTTTAAATTCTAAACTAGCTGTAAATGTAGATGATTTGTTTTGGAGAGGGGCAATATAATTGAAAATTAACTTGTATGTGACAATTGGCTCCTAAGGTTTAATCATATGTATCTTAATTGTGTGATGAGCTTGCTGTTTAACTCTTGAACTGGGTTAACTGTTTTGGTTGTCACAAACTGCACTCAGTTTTTCAACCATGGACGATATTGAAGTTATCAGTTTTTTTTTTTAACATTTTCTAATGTCACTTTTGGAATTTAAAATAAATTTTCTTTTAGTTCTCAAAAGTAGAATTAATTGTATTTTTTAAGTTAATATTTAAGACTGCTTATATAAAGTTACACATTATGGGATAATAGTTTATTTTTCAGATTTAATTCAATTGTTACTATTTTTCTTTTCAAGATACTCCTTTCACAATGTGCATTCTTTTGTGAATACCCTCTTAAGTGGGTGTCTGAGAATTGCAATTTCAAGCTGTGAGAAGTTGAACTTTCCTTTTTTTGCAGGAAAAGTGACAACATCCTATTGACCATTCTCCTGATTTTTTATGTTTTCTCTGGAGACTGTTAAAAGATTCGTTTGACTTCTTTTCACTGACTTCTAAATTTGAGTCTTGTTGCTCAAGTCACGTATCATAAAATAAATCGAGGAGCTGCTTGTAATAGAGTAAATCAGTTAGTTGATGTTTTTAATCTCCTGGAATGAGTGGACAATAACATATCTCGTTGTCATTCAAATATAAATGACAGCAGTTTTTTCCTGGGCCATATACTATTTCCAGTCAGCAAAGTAGGGAGAAACATATCTTACCAATGCTGCCTACATGGGCTTCTGGAGCATGAATCGAGGTGGATGCTAATACATTTGTTGTGTTTCCTGTTGGCAATCTCCATTTCAAGCCTGTGCAATTAGCATTTGACTTGCTCATTTTCATGTCTAGATTTTTATGGTTCTGTTTTTAAAATGTGGAGCTTACTTTGTACATAATTTTTATTTGATTTAAGTCATTTCTTTATCTTTCTTAAGGGATTGTTGGCCTATTTATGATAAGAAAAGTGCTGCATGCTTTAGGAAAGTGTGCTTTGAGTGGATGAAGAAAATTGCAGTAAGTAAATAATAAACCTACTAATAAAGATGGAGGTAATTGCTTTGTGGTATTATTGTTGGACTATTAATCCAGAGATCCAGGTAATAATCTGGAGAACCATGTTTGATTCCTCACCATTGGCAGATTGTGAAATAAAAAAAAATCTGGAGTTAAGGCTCTCATGATGACATGAAGCCATTGTCAATTGTTGGAAAAACCCTCTAGCTCACTAATGCCCTCTTATGGCCTACAGTTGACTCTCAACTGCCTTCTGAAATGGCCAAGCATGCCACTGTTTTGTATCAATTGCCATTAAGCCTCATCAAAGAAATGAAACCAAATCGATCATCTGGTCATAACCTAGGCACTAGAAAAGACACTGACCATGCAAAATCTTGCTTGCTAACGTCAGGGGGTTAGTCCCAAAATTGGGAGAACTGTCTCAGACTCATCAAGTGACAGTTTGATATAGTCATACTTATGGAATCATGCATTATAGACAATGTCCTAGTCACTACCATCACCATTCCTAAATATATCCTGTCCAACCTGCAGGATAGTCCCCAGCCAGTGAGGAATGGATTGCCCTGGATTACATTCAGGAAGGCGTTGCCCTAGAAGTCCTCATCATGACTTCAGACTCCACAAAGCCGCAAGGCATCAGTTAAACATGGGCGAGGAAACCCTGCTATTTCCCACATGCAGTCTTCCCCTGGCTGATGACTCAGTAGTCCTCCATGTTGAACAACACTTGGAAGAAACACTGAAAGTTGCAAGGGCGCAAAGTGTACTCTGGGTGTGGGATTTTAATGTCCATTACCAAGAGTGGCTCAGCATCAGCATGATTGATGAAGCTGGTTGGGTGTTAAAGGATAGAGGTGCAAAACTGGAACTGTGGCAGGTGGTGAGGGAACAAACAAGAAGGAAAAAGGTACTCGACTTATCCATACGAATCTGCCAGTTGCAGATGTATCTATCCATGACTGTATCTGGAAGAGTGACCACCACACAGTCCTTGTGGAGATAAAATTCCAACTTCACATTGGGAATACCCTCCATATTGTGTGGCACTATCACAGTGTTAAGTGGGATAAACTTTGAACAGATCGAGCAACTCCAGGCTGGGCATTTGAGGCGCTATAGGCCATCAGCAGCAACAAAATTGTACTTCAGCGCATTCTGCCACCCCATGGCCCAGCTAACCCCCACTTGACCATTATCATGAAGCCAGGGAATCAGTAATGGTTCAATGGAGAATGCAGGATGACATGCCAGGTGTAGAACCAGGCATGCCTAAAAAAGGAGGCTCAATCTTGTGTGGCTACCAAACAGGACTACCTTCGTACCAAACAGCATAAGCAACATGTGATAGACAGAGCTAAGTGATCCCACAACCAAGAGGTCAGATCTAATCTTTGCAGTCCTGCCGTATCTAGTGATGAATGGTAGTGGACAATTAAACAACTTACTGGTGGAAATTACTTCACAAATATACCTACCGTAATTATGGAAGAGCCCAACATGGCAGTGCAAAAGATAAGGCTGAAGCATTCGCAGCAATTAGCAATGATCCATCTCACCCTCCTCCTGTGGTCCCCAGCTTCACAGATGCTGGTCTCCAGCCAATTTGATGTTAAGAAATGGTTGGAGGCACTAGTTTCTGCAAAGCCTACGGGCTGTGGCAACATTCTGGCAATAGTACTGAAGACTTGTGCACTAGAAGTTGCTGCTCCCCTAGCCAGGCTGTTCCATTACAGTTACAGTACTGGCATCTGCAATGTGAAAAATTGCCCAAGTCTGTCCTGTACACAAAACAGGACAAATCCAACTCGGCAATTACGTCTGTGCAGGAGTTCATCAGGTTGCAAGTTGCTTCCCAGGAGTGTCGCTGACTGATATTTAACAGTCCGATAAGGAGACATTGGACAGATAGCTAAAAGCTTAGTCAAGGAAGTAGATTCCAAAGAATATCTAATGGAGACAGTGATCTCAAGGCATTCCAGAAACTGGGGGCCATGGCAGCTAATGGAACAGCAGAATTGGAGGAAAAACAAATATCTGGACAGGTTATACAGAGACTGAGACTTTGAAGGAATAGAGTGTCTTTTTACTAAATTCCCACTGTGGTTTTCAATTGAGGCACTTCTTATTTGGCGATCATTTTGGTCAGAAAACATGGTTGAGTAGGACCTGATTTTGAGTTAGTACGGTGGCATTGGATTTAATGAGGGCAGAAGATGGCAACGTGGCTCAGAATATATAATGGGCAAGTTTACTGGTACAAAAGCAAAGATGAATAGATTTTAGTTGTGGCACTGTTAGAGGTAGAAATGCGATATTTTTGTTGGCTTGGCTACCTGAATTCAAATTCCTTTTGGGGTCAAATATGGCTTCTATGTTTCAAATCAGCTTCAGGCAGTTGCCAGGGAGGAGGGTGGCATTGAATAGGAAACTAATGTACCAAAGATGCAATGTCTTACTATTTGATCAATGGGAATTTCTGCCCTTCCAGTCACATAGTCTGACAATTTGATATTGGAGGAGTGAACGGAGATGTTGATTAGGTAGAACTGTGTGTCTTTTTATTGTAGATACTAAATATCACTGTTTTCATCTTGAACAAGAGGCAAGCCTTTCAGTGCTGTTGAGATGTAATTCTTGGGTGTATTCTCCATGGTATGAAATTGGTCTGTATTTGAGGCAGTTAGCATTCTAAATGAGATTATAATTCTTTTGTCTCTCCTCAAGGACGAAGTCGGAAACAATTTTCCTCAAGTCACAGCATCGTTATTTCTGTCTCCTGGAGGCCCTAAATTTACTAACTTAATGTACCATTTTATTAAATATGTGCTCGTGTGCAAGTTTCATGAAGCTGCAAGTAAGTACTTTTTGAGTATCCTAAAGCAGTATTTTTAGTTTTGTTTGAACAATTGAGTTGTATTCATTTTCGTTTGTATAGAATGTATACAGTAATGCATGTTCTTCCAAATTAGATTTAAAATAGCTTTCCTTGTTAACATCATCAAACTATAGTACACTGGAAAAGGAGGCTACTTAGTTCATATGGCCAGTTAGCTTAACATCTGTGACTGGGAAAATGTTACAATCTATTATAAATGATGTAACAGCCAAGTAATTTAGCAATACATAATATCAAGCAGAGTCAGCATGGTGTCACGAAGGAAAATTGTGCCTGACAAATTTATTAGAATTCTTTTTGAGGATGTAACAAGAAGATAAAGAAGGGAAATCGGTAGATGTAATATATTTGAATTTCTAAAGATATTCCATGAGGTTACTTAAGAACCTATGATTTCAGGGGTAATATATTAGCATGGAGAGTGGAATGGCTAACTAATAAGAGTTAATGAGTTGGGGTAAAGGAGCATTTTCAGGACGGCAACCTGTAACTAGTGGAGTGCCACAGGATCTGTGCTGGGGCCACATTGTTTACAATATATTAATGACTTGGATACGGGAAGAGAATGTACTGTCACCAACTTTTGGGTTGTGCAAAAATAAGTGAGATCGCAGGTAGTAGGGGTTGACATAAGGAGTTTAGAGGAATATAGACCGATTGAGTGAGCAAATATTTAGTAGATGGAATATAATGTAGGAAAATGTGAAGTTATGTATTTTGGCAGGAAGAAAAGTTGAGCTGAATGTTATTTAGCGGAGGAACAAATGAAGGAAATTACGGCACTCTCGCGGTCCTTATGCATCTCAAAAAGCTAACATCCAAGTTCAGATAACAAGGAAGGCAAATGATGATTTTAGAATAGTTTCAGCAAAATCTCCCAATAAGACATTAGTCAGATCAGGCCTGCAATACTGTGAATAGGTTCATGCCTTTTTTAAAATGCATTAATTGGATGTGGGTGTCATTGGGGTAGAGCAACATTTATTGCCCACCCCGAATTGGCCAGAGGACAGTTAAGACATTGCCACTGTAACACTGCTTATCCAAGAGAAGATACAGGTCTTGGAGGCAGATCAGAGAAGGCTTACTAAATTGATTCTACATATGAAGGGATTTTCTTAGGAGGAAATGTTGCTTAGTTTGAGCTTGAGGTTTTTTAGAATCCCTACAGTGTGGAAACAGGCCCCTCGGTCCAACAAGTCCACACTGACCCTCAGAGCATCCCACCCAGACCCATTGCCCCCTACAACCCACCTAATCTGCACATCCCTGAACACTATATGGGAAATTTAGCATGGCCAATCTACCTAGCCTGCACATCTCTGGATTGTGGTAGGAAACCAGAGCACCCAGAGGAAACCCACACAGACATGGGGAGAATGTGCAAACTCCACACAGACAGTTGCCCGAAGGTGGAATTGAACCCGGGTCCCTGGTTCTCTGAGGCAGCGGTGCTAACCACTGAGTTCTTTTGAGTTTAGAAGAATGAGAGGAGACTTCATCGAAACGTGTAAGATTCTTGCAGGTGCTTTTCAGAGTGGATGTGGAGAGGTGGTTTCTCCTGTGGGAGAGTCTGGACCAAAGGGCATAATCTCAAAGGGGACACTTAAGACCAAGATGAGTCAGAATTTTATTCTGACTGTAGTGAACTTGGGGAATTCTTCAAAGGATTGTTGAGGCTGGGTTGTGGAGAAAATTCAGGCCTGAGATTGGCAGATTTCTGATCATTAAGGGAATTGAGAAGGCAAAGAAGCGGAATTGAAGATTTGGATCAATCATAATTTTGTTAAATAATGAGCAGATTTGGTGGGCCAGATGACCGACTTCTGCTTCTGTCTTGGTCTTTTACCCATCGAGGTTTTTATTTGAGGGACAGTGTGGAATGATCCACTCCTTCCTTGTATCTCTACATTTGTTTTCCTCCTTTTTTAATTTAGTTTCCTACTGTTGACTTGAGTCACCAATAGGGTGATGAATACTCGAAGCTGTTTTGAAGCAATAGAAATCAATTTTTAGTGTTGTATAGAACTGATTTGCCTTGCCAAGAGGATGGGCTTATCTTAAGCCTGTGCCCCTGAAAAAGAACATCATGTCACTTGAAAATTCTAATGTAGTTTCATTTTATGAAAATTCATGTATTCTTGAAGATTCAAAAATTGGAATGTATTTTAAGAGGAACTGCAAGAGGTATATGCAATGACTACTGATAATACTAGCCTCTGGAATTCACTACACTTTAAAAAAAAAACAAAAAAGCCAAGACCAAACATTGTATAATTTCAAGAAGAAGTTAGAATTAGCACTTGGGGCTAAAGGGATCAAAAGATATGGAGGGGAAAAAAACAGGAGCAGGCTATTCAGTTGGATGATCAGGCACAGTCATAATGAATGGCACAGCAGATTCAATGGGACACATTATGTTTCTATTTATGGTACTTACTCTGTTTTAAAGGGTGTTCTGTGAATGTGTAGAATGTGTGAATTTTTGCATCAAACCTCTAGCATCGATTTGAATTAGTATGTTTCTAATTTGTTTGCTCCTCCCCATGCTATTAACAAAAGAAGATAGTACCTGGAAAACAATGACATTCAATGGAAAACAAGATTCCTGTTTGTCAGCAATGAAAAGTTGTATTGCAGCCAACTGGTTTTTAGAAGGAATTCAGAAAGAAGCTTTTATTGTTGGAGAATACAAGAGAAGGGAAGAGTAAGTATATTGATGCTTGATTTTTCTAATGTACAGAATTTTGTATTTATACTTATGAAACTTAAGGATGCACCAGAGTTGTTTGCTTCGCTTGGAAAACCAGTACATGTGTAACGTTGGAATCTTAACCAGAAATATAAAGCAGCAATTTTTTTTCCTTTTTAAATGATATTTATTTTTTTTCTTTTAATAGCTTTTTAGCCTTGCACAGCTCCAAGCTCTCTTTTTGCTCCCACTGACAGAACATTGGCATCTTAGACATTTTCCCTACCTTTATAACACCTCCTGTCTATTTGCATCTTTCATCAAGCTGTTGATGAACCAAATTTTTTTTAATTGAGTGCAGTGTTCCTCTTTATTTGTGCTTCTGCAAAAGACCTTGGAGCACTTTATTAGTGTCATGTTATGGGTTTATTATCTCTCTCCTTATTCTCATCACTAGATAATGAGTAAATTGATTGTTATATTTTTCTTCCCTGTTTTACATAAAGGAAGAGATGTAGACCATATCTCTTTTTCCTTATGAAAATCTCATAAGGTCTCCTGAGGAATATTGCTGAAATGTAACTTCACTTTGGGGGGTAAAAAAAAATTTCTCTTTCATACAGCACTAGTACAGGTGTTGATTGCTGTTTATACAGATTTTTCTTTTATAGCCTGGCATTCCAGGTTTTGGCATTGGTTTGACTTATTATTGTCACATGTACTGAGATACAGTGAAAAGTATTGTTTTGTTTGCTAACCAGACAAATCATACCTTAAGTAGAACAGAATGCAGAATGTAGTGTTACAGCTAGAGAGAAGTTGCAGAGAAAGATAACTCTCATCTGAGGGGTCCATTCATAATTCTGATAATACAGCAGGGAAGAAACTGTTCTTGAATTTATTGGTACATTTTCAAACTTTTTGTATCTTCTGCCCGGTGGAAGAGGTTGGAATGCGGTATAACTGGGATGGGAGGGGGTCTTTGATTATGTTGGCTACTTTCCTGAGACAGCCAGGAAGTGTAAATGGAGTCAGTCGAAGGAACGCTGGCTTTTGTGATGGACTGGGCTGTGTTCATAACTCTAATTTTTGGTGGTCTTGGGCAGAGCAGTTGCCATACCAAGCTGTGATGCATCTGGATAGAATTGTTTCTAGTGCATCTACAATAATTGGTAAGAGCCATTTGTGGGTGTAACAAATTTCCTTTGCCTTCTGAGGAAGTAGAGGCTTTGGTGTGCTTCTTGACTGTACTGTCGATGTGGATGGACCAGGATAGATTGGTGATATTTCTATGAACTTGAAGCTTTCAACCACCTCTGCCCCTGCACCATTGATACAGACAGGGATGTGTCTTCTACTCTGCTTCCTGAAATCAATGACCAGCTGCTTCATTTTGCTGATATTGAAGGAAAGATTGTTAGCTTTACTCCATGTCACTAAGCTCTCTATCTCTTTCCTGTACTCTGTCTGATCGTTGTTTTGAGATCCGACCCAATATGGTGGTGTCATCAGCAAATTACTGATCCGTTCAACATTTACTGACGCTGACCCTGTAACTCGGTGTGATTTCAAAATTGTCACGTTCAAAGAAAAGTTAGTTCAGTTTTGAGGAAGTCATTTAACCAAGCCTCAGTTGACAGTGGGGATTGGGGAAGTGAAGTTTCCTTTAAGACAAAGGCTTGCATCGCAACTAACCAACACATGGTCTAGCTCAAGGTAAGTGGAAAGTCATCAATGCATCATCTTACAGAATAAGTGCAATTCTAGTGTTTAGGAATTTTTTTTATCATGGAGACCCGTTTTATTTGTCTGGTGTTGTGACACCATAGTTAACATTCCATATTGGTCAGGGGGTACATCAGGTGTTGATTGGCTTCTGAGAAGCTCCTGAAAGGTTATTGCTAAGTCCAGTGACACAATTGTAACAGCCATCTTTGGCTTTTCAATGTGTGATTGAGAGGTCACTATATGTGTTAACATTGGCTTTTAATCCTTTCTTGATTGTCTCCAAGAGAAGTACTGATTTGACTATCAATCACAAAGGAGCTGGGTGTTATGGAAGGCATACAGGAGAGGGAAGATAAGTCCACAGTCAAATCAGCCATAATCTTTTTAAATGGTGGAGTAATTTTGAGGGACTGAGTGGCCCCAGGGTAACCTGGGGCGGCTAGCATGACCGGGTAGGTGTGGAAATGTGTCTTTTTTTTTTAGAAAGGAATATTGAGGGACTGAGTGGCTTACGGTTTCTTTTCTTCTGACATCCACTTAACTGTTCATTTGTGATAACCTCAGCATTATTAACCACTGTGATTTTTGTCTCCAGATTAATGGTTAAAGAAAATTCAATGTTGAAGAAACAGTATGCAGAAATGAAGGGCCACCTGGAAAAGTAAGGTGCCATTAGGGCTTTTTAATTTTAACTTCTTTGATGGATCTTAACCAGATCGCATGACCAACTTTCAAGGATAGTTGGTCCAGTTGTAGTCAGTCTGCATATTCAGAAAGGTATATTAATAGCTCATCTGATTGTCTGTCTGTTGTAATTTTTATAGATCCTGTGTGGGGCGGGGTTGTGGAACAAAAATGGCCCAAATCGTTTGCTCTGGATCAGAAACCTTAGGGCAAAGAAAAAGGTTGCCATACCTAACTTCCCAGAACTTGTAATCCTGAACTAAATGTAGAATCCATCCCAGCAGATGCATGCACTGAACCATGTAGGCATTATCAGAGGAAATCTCCGCAGAAGCCATGCCCCGCTTTGTGACAATATCTGTCTCATTCCAGTTGGAAGTTCAGTTTAGAGGTCCCAGTGCCTTTCCGCCAGTTATTCAGAGAGTAAATGGACAGGAAAGCTGGCAGATGACTGGGTGAGGAAGAGATTAATCAGAAGCTTCAAGTTTTCGTGCAATTACCATGCATCGAAAGTCCAGAAAGATTTTGATGATTATCTTCCAGTCTTGGGCTGTCCAGAGATTGAAAGACCTGGGCAGTTATCTCAGTTGCTTTTTCTTTTGTTTTTCCCCTGAACTGCCTGATATCCAAACTGATGGTTAGAACAAAATTTCTAATATCTAAAAGTTTGAAGAGAAGGCAGAATGCAGGTATGAAGAAAGATCAAGTGTTGTACGGGATTAATTTTTTAACAATCTGAGTCTTAGTAGCTTTTGTACTCCGGTATTGATTTCAGTGTCGGGATTGAATCAAAACAGTCTTATGATGCGTGAACGAGCCCCCCTCTTTGCAGACTTCTTGTTGGGATGCATAACGATTTGTTTTTTTAGCACCAGGCTATCCTCTCCAATAAAAATGCAGTTATCGAGCTTAACTGGAAGTAATTAGGAGCCAATCACAAGGCTTTCCGGTGCTTAAAAGAACAAACTATTACTTGCTAGTGCCAATGAACTAATAAAGATGAAACATTCAATACTTGGCTTTTGTGCAGGACAGATAGTGTAGGGTTGCATTCTGTATGTACCCACAGATGTAAGGCTAAGAGGGGCAGTGTCAGAACAAATCAAGATAAAAGAATATATGGCTTAAAGTTCTTCAGTTGTGCCTGATGCTGGGGTTGGTTGGACAGTTTCTTAGATGCAACCAGCAGTAGTCAATGTTGTAATTAATCTTAAAATTGTTTCTTCCCATGGGAACCAAGTCCGTTCCTTTTAGAAAAAGATGAGGAGACATCAGCTCAACTTTGAGTCATCTCCAACAAACTTCTCAATGTCCCTTAATTATAGTTTCACTGGTATATCCACTGATATGTTTCTTTACTAAGTCCATCCATGACAACTATGCTGTCAACTTCCAGTACTTTTGTTCCTGAGTGTAATAAGTTTCAACGGGTATGTGGTGTATTTCCTTTTTTGCACTCTGCCCCTGTCGTGGAACCAATTACTTTGTTCTGTCTCCTCCAACTTGAGGTGACTTTATAGTAAGTTGTCTGTCTTTTCTCAACGCAACTTGTAACAGTTCAAAGTGTTTTTTTTTTTTAAAATCAATTTTGCAGAATTAAAAGCATAACTTAATGACAAAAGTATACCCTTATGCCAAATTTTCAACTTGATAGTTCACAGCATTATCTTCATCGGGTAAGATACTTTTTTGGATAGGTTGAATATTTAAAACTAATTGACACGTTATGGTACTCTGGAGATGTTTGTGATTTCTCACTGCTGATCTCTCCTCTTACTGAAAGACCACTATTTACATTCCTGTCGGGGAGTGATTTCACATAAGCCTTTACATGTAAATTGCTGTTGAGTTGCAGGAATGGGGGTTACAGCATGTCATCTACTTTATTCTCACAACAGATTTTAATCTGTCGTGGTGCTTAGCATGAGGTAAACTGAAATGTGACATCTCTGAAAGTTTTCTTTATAATCTGCAATGCTTCCACTAAATAATGAAGTGCAAAAGGTGCAATCTGTGGGAAATAAATTGTGACGTTTAGAAAATGTTTTGTAATGGGCCTGTTTACAACAGTTGTGTTACAGTAGTAACTAGTTTGAATCTATTCATATGTACATTGGAGAAAACAGCTGGCATTTTAAACTTGATCATTCCCACCTTCCTCGCACCACCCACCTTTTCTCCCTGCTCAAGTCCCTAATAATTTTTACTGCAATACCACAACTGATTCACTTGCTGATGTTGAATAGAAATGATAAATAATAATTTTTCTCTGAAATGACTGGCTGTACCTAAAATTTCTAACACTTTACCTGAACTACCTGTGAATGCAAAACGATTTGCATAGTTGAATTCATTTAGCAAAATTCTTACAGTTTGACTTCTTTTGTTAGGGTTACTTGTGGCTTTACAGAAGCACGTAATCAGAAACCAGAAGAGGTTTGTACAGAATCTTTATTTAACATCACATCTTCATATTTTTCACTATCAAGATTGTTGACAACACTTTTGCTTTACTGGTATGTTTTTTGTTCTTGACGTAAGTTAGGTGCGACATCCTTACCTCAAGAGTAACCTAATATTAAGGAGTAGTGATTACATTTTTTTTATTTAATGTTTGAATGATTGTTCCAACAAATCTTAAAAACTTGATTACGACAAGCCACCGTGATCTTTTTGGATGGTTTTAGAATTGTTGCCAATATCTAAGTCTAAATTGCTAAATGAGATTTTCTCTGTGCTATACCATGGACCATTGAATGCTCTTTTCTTAAAAAAATCATGCTTTCATTGTAATCTGTTAGTGGGTATAATCTCTTTTTTTAATGGCTTTTTTTCTTGCCTGTCTATCCAATCTGTTCTTTCTTTATAATGTATGGAAGTGCAAAAGACATGTCTTAAATATCAAATATAAGCAAATTTTAAGGTCTTTACTTCAGTCAAGATCACCAACTTTTCCATTTTGCATTCTGTTATGTTTTGAAGTGTTTGCTTTCATTACTTTTTGAAGTTTGTCTTTGATTTTCATACAACTTTGAAGGCACTCCCTGATATAACATTAGCTAAGGAACCTATACCTTTTTGTCTGATACTGCTTTCACTGATGTTTTTTTCAGATTGATCAAAGGCTTGCATATAAAGAAAGTGTTCCTGTTGTGGTTCTTGCTGAGGTTATTTGAATTAAGTTTTTAGAATTATAGTACCTCTTATCTTTAAAAACAAACTGGATTTTATTAAAATAGCACATTTCTAATGACTGGGCATCCTAACGTGCTTAACAACTAACACAAATGTAAGAAACATGGCAGGCCAACATGCATACAGCAGAGTCTCAAATGGTAGTGTGATTAAGATCAAATCTTTCTTTTTGTGATGTTGAATGAGAGGGATCAAAGTGGTGTTTACCCAGTTTAGAAGTTGTGCAAGTAAGGATTTATCTTATTAATGTGAGTACCGTTGAGACTTTATTAACTTATTACACCACAAACCTGTTATTCAGCTCCGTAAAATGTGGAATATTGTAACAGACACCATGTCTGAATTAGAAGAAGAAAAGGAAGTAATTGATTCATTGTTGGATGGGC